TTATATTAATTAATTGTATAATATATTTAAAAAAAAAACGCAAATACCTTGAATGCCATTGTTGCTTGATGTAATCGTGGTATGGATGTGATGATTTTCCGAAATCGTCCACCACTTTTATACTAAATATTCTTTGGGTATTTGGAGAAGTGGAACTGAGGACGGGCCAACATTCTCTTCACAGCAAAACTCGACCGCTTCCAATTAATTATACTTGCCGAACTTTATACTTAAAATTTCATGTAATAATCGAAATCCAGTATTATAACAATAATAACTTAATGATTATTGAATGATATTGGACGATAAAAACAAACTCTTAGTGCGTATTATAAAATTTGGTTTGGATTGAGCGCAGAATATTTCTTAGCGCACCTCTGGTGATTGAATCGCCTGATTGTACGCATTTTATTTTAGAAATTGCAAGAAGAAATGAGTCCAAATGCGTATGGTAAATTGTATTTCGTGTAATTGAGCGTGTTGCGAAATGGAAGCCAAACGTAGGCACACCTTGCTCCAAACGCGCGCTATGGATTTAATAAACAATTATGTATAGCCAATTGTCGCCAATGCGTTAATATCGATCTTGGGATAATAGCGCGATCTAATTGAAGTAATTTGTATTGATCACGCAACGAGATTGCAGCGATGGTAAAAATACTGTCGTAGAAATGAAATTTGGTCTTGAGATAAAAATGTCTCAAATACCAAAGAAAGTGAGCGTCATTCGAATGCCCCTTCCAGATGTTGGATAAATTTGTATAAAAATGCGAGCGTTTGGAGACAGAGGTATCACTTCGAAATTACTTTCGTATTCAGCAACAATGGCATTCAAGGTACGAACCGTCCCCTCACATAAGTTTGCAATTATATAATAATTAATTTTTTCTTTGAAGCTCGTAGTTTTGTGCGCCGCTTTGGCCGTAGCCAGCGCTGGTAATTTGGGATACTCCTATGGAGCCGCCCCATTGGCATACTCCGCAGGATACACCCATGGAGTAGCCGCCCCATTGGCCTACTCTGCTGGATACGCTCACCAAGCCGCCCCATTGGCTTACTCTGCTGGATACGCTCACCAAGTTGCCCCAGTCGCCTACTCCTCTGCTCCAGCTGTATCTTACTCCAGCATCTCTGCTCCAGTCGCCACCTACGCCAAGACCATCGCTGCCCCAGTAGCTTACTCTGCTCCAGTAGCCTACTCCGCCCCAGTAGCTCACGCTTACGCCGCTCCAGTCGTAGCTAAGACCATCGCCGCCCCAGTTGCCACCTCTTACTCTCACTCCACCGTCACCAAGTCTGTAGCTCCAGTAGCCACCTATGCCGCCGCTCCAGTAGCCTACTCTGCCCCAGTCGCCGCGTACGCTAAGACCATCGCCGCCCCAGTAGCCTACTCTACCTACTCCGCCCCAATTGCTCAAACTTACTCCAGCCCGATCGTCGCCAAGACCATCGCCTCTCCCCTTGCCTACTCAGCCTACTCTTCTCCAGTAGTAACTAAGACCGTAGCCGCCCCAGTCGCTCACGTTTCTTACTCCTCCCCGTCCATCGGCTACGCCACCAACTACGGATGGTAATTTATCACCAAAACAAGTGCCATTTATTTAAAACAATAGATACATAAAATAAAAATCTAAAAAAAAAACAATAGCTGTATATTTCTGTTTCAACCCATTCAAACGAATTATTCAATTCTGCATTTTGCACGAATTCATTATTATTCGTAATAATTACGGAGCGAAATGGCATTATTGCTGTTTTATTATTCGCCAACGCGATTACCGAAATATTCAATTTAAATTCTGCTCGACGAACCGAATGCACGCTGCAATATTGGACGGAATAATAATTCAGATGCAATTGCATAAAAGATGAACCGCATCCACATCATTATAGAATGCCCATTATTAATTTTTAATTGTGTTTTTTACTTCTCTTGTTATTTATTTTATTTATTTAATACGAATTTCGGATTTGAAGTAATTCAGTCTTATGTACCGAATACAAAGTATTCGGTTTGTACACTGTAGTTTGTCATGATTTTTTTTGGGATATTATTAATAAAATTTTATTTGAATTATATAATATTTAAATGCTCCAAACTGTATATCTTTTGTGATATATCATAGTACAGGCGTCCCTGAATTTACGCGATTTTACGTTCCACATGGATTTTTTTACGCGAATAAACAAATCACTATCGGTATTTAAAACAAACAAACTTCTGTTTTTAATTGCTACAAACTCATCATCATCTTCGCTTGAAATTTAAAACAAAACAAAAAGATACCTCTTAAAGTAAATTATACTAGAATATATATAATATAGAGAAGATAGATCTGGATAGACCGCGACTTGAAATCTAATTGAATATATTCTTGGGAGACTGAAATGTTTTCAATAATGGATATATATTGTAAAGTTTTGTTCTGTAGTTATTAATAATTATATTAATTTGATCATTTTTAACCTTTTCTATGATGCATCAATGCGATTCCTTAAATTACTTTTCAGAATTGATAATAGAAAAATAATATAATCTGATAATATTTTGATAGACAATTCTATAAATAATTCATGGACATTTACGCTTTTATGCTAAATATGAATGGAAATGTAATAATTTCTTTTCATTATTTATACATGAATATAATGTGAAATCTCTTGACAGCGAAACTCAACTGACAGATGCAATTACATACTGCGTTGCGTACCAACTTTTACATACGCCTGTCCATATATCTTTAGATTCTGACGTTGGATGAAATATTAGTATGAGTTAGGAGTACATTTTTGTACAAACTCAGTAGGAAGTTATTTATGTTTAATGTGTTTTTTTACATTAATCCAAGTAATCATATTTTTTTTGTTTAGTTTATATATATTTTTAATTTCATTTTATAAAACAAAATAAATAAATATAGTCTTTTTTTATCGGATTATTAACATTCTTTGTTTTGTGGTGATTTACCATCCGTAGTTGGTGGCGTAGTTGATGGCTGGAGCGGAGTAGGACACGTGAGCGACTGGGGCAGCTACGGTCTTGGCTACTACTGGGGCGGAGTAGGCAGAGTAGGCGAGGGGAGAGGCGATGGTCTTGGCGTAGGTGGCAACTGGGGCGGAGTAGGCTACTGGAGCGGCGGCGTAGGTAGCGACTGGAGCTACGGATTTGGTGACGGTGGAGTGAGAGTAGGAGGTGGCTACTGGGGCGGCGATGGTCTTAGCTACAACTGGAGCGGTGTAAGCGTGAGCTACTGGAGCGGAGTAGGCGACTGGAGCAGCAGAGTAAGCTACTGGGGCGGCGATGGTCTTAGCGTAAGTGGCAACTGGAGCAGCAGCATAGGTGGCAACTGGGGCAGCAGCATAGGCGGCGACTGGGGCAGCGGCGTAGGTGGCTACTGGAGCAACAGACTTGGTGACGGTGGAGTGGGAGTAAGAAGTGGCTACTGGGGCGGCGATGGTCTTGGCTACAACTGGGGCAGTGTAAGCGTGAGCTACTGGAGCAGAGTAGGCAACTGGGGCGGCGATGGTCTTGGCGTAGGTGGCAACTGGAGCAGCGGAGTAAGCCAAAGCTGGGGCGGCAGAGTAAGCTAATGGGGCGGCTTGGTGAGCGTATCCAGCGGAATAGGCTACTGGGGCGGTTTGGTGAGCGTATCCAGCAGAATAGGCTACTGGGGCGGCTTGGTGAGCGTATCCAGCAGAGTAAGCCAATGGGGCGGCTACTCCATGG